ACAAGTCCTTTCTCAAATAAAACTAGTTTATTCTTTCTCAATTCAACTTTGCAATACACTTAATTTCCACAGTCCTTTTAACATGAACATACGCTATAATTCTCAACGAACGATTCACGCACTTTACTTACTACCGTGCATGACTCAATTGTCCGTCTATATCTTCAATCTCTTTCTCTGCTATTCAGTTGTTGCCTTCACTTTATTTGCCGGCTTATATACTATAAGAACGCCATTCTAGCAACCGCTAGAACGTTCGACAAGTTCCTCGATCTTTCTAGATACACATTACGTGTTACCAGCTTCACGTGATCTCCGCTGTCGTAACACTTCTTTTTCACGAGTTATTTTCAAATGTATATTTCACTAACTCGCCAAAAGTTTAAAAATACTGTCGAAAAGTGCTTGATAAAAAAAAATGTATTCTTGCAAATTTTATAAACGTTTTATTTTCACAATTAGTCTCGAAACACAAAAAAAACGTATTACAATGAAATATCGAAATAGCATTCCTTATATGCCCCCCCTGGTGGCATAGTGGCATGTCTGCAGATTTACACCACTATAAACCGTGTTTCTATAGCCGTGGTTGGCAGATCACAGATGGCCCATTGTGTAGCTTGCTCTTAACTACAAATAAAAATAACAACTTTCCTTCATGGCAACCCCTTTCATGAAACTCATCACGTCGTTTCTGTAGACTGAACCAACAAAAGCGCTTATAACACTTCACGATACACACCTTCTTACTTATGTTTCTTAGATAGTTCAACTAGTAAAAAATATTTGATGCGTCAGGAATATATTTTGAGCGTTTTTCATTGTTAATGGGACGAGTTGTCATTTATAAAACTCGATACTAACCGATGATACTGGCGTTATTTACATATGCAAGTCCTTAAAATGTCATTTTGTTATTGTAAGGTAATTTTATTTCAGTGTGACGTATTAAAACTCTTTCTATTTATATCATCCAAGTAGTTAAAGCGAGGACTGCGCGGTAATCCGTTAGAGGGCGCTACAGATGTGTCCACTTCAAGGAGTGGAGGGGACGTGTAGGAACGATGATGTCATCAAAGACGATGACGTCATAGTTCCACAAATAATGGTTGGAGGTACCTGATGATGACAAAACCTTGTCGAAACTTGTAGTATTTTGGCACTTGTGTATAAAGTTAAAATCATAAATAATATTCAAC